TATATATATATATATATATATATGTCGTACCTAGTAGCCAGAACGCACTTCTCAGCTACTATGCAAGCCCCGATTTGCCTAATTAGCCAAGTTTTCCTCAATTAATATATTTTCTCTAATTTTTTTCTTATGAAATGATAAAGCTACCCATTTCATTATGTATGAGGTCAATTTATTTATTGGAGTTAAAATTAACGTAGTTATATGACCGAACCTAACCAACCCTACTAACCTAACCTAACCTATTTTTATTGGTTAGGTTTTGTTAGGTAGCCAAAAAAGTTAGGTTAGGTTAGGTTAGTAGGTTAGGTAGTCGAAAAAACAATTAATTCATGAAAACGTAGGCTCGTTTATTAGGCTGAATTCGGGCCTTGCATAGTAGGCTGAGAAGTGCGTTCTGGCTACTAGGTACGACATATATATATATATAATATATATATATATATATAATATATATATGTCGTACCTCGTAGCCAGAACCGCACTTCTCAGCCTAATATGCAAGACCAAATTTGCCTAATAAGCCAAGTTTTCCTGAATTAATATATTTTCTCTCAAGTTTTTTTCTTATGAAAGATAAAGCTACCCATTTCATTATGTATAAGGTCAATATTTTTATTGGAGTTTTAAATTAACGTAGATATATGACCGAACCTAAACAACCCTACCTAACCTAACCTAACCTATCTTTATAGGTTAGGTTAGGTTAGGTAGCCGAAAAAGTTAGGTTAGGTTAGGTTAGGTAGGTTAGGTAGTCGAAAAACAATTAATTCATGAAAACTTGGCTTACTAGGCAAATTTGGCCTTGCATAGTAGGCTGAGAAGTGAGTTCTGGCTACTAGGTACGAATAATATATATATATATATATATATATATATATATATATATATATATATTTATATATATCTACTATATATATATATATAAGGCACAACTCTCCTAAACACGAGAGTGAAGTATACAACTTTAGAACACTTTCCCACCAGGAGACTCGAACCCTAGCCAGCACAGAAGCCTAAAATGAAGATGAAATAAACGTATAAATGACCCCTCACTTGCTCTAGTGCTCTTGGGAGGTGGTGATCTTTGGTGTATTTAAATACTACCGAAATTACCATCTCTTTTAAGGGTCTGAGCAGGTGGTGGACGGGGTTAAGGCGTACCTGTTATGCCAGTTGCTGGTAGGCTTCTGTGCTGGCTAGGGTTCGAGTCTCCTGGTGGGGAAAGTGTTCTAAAGTTGTATATATATATATATATATATATATATCTATATATATATATATATATATATATATTTATATATATATATATATATAATATAATATAATATAATATTTCTTCAAACACAGAAGGTAGGAAATATAATATTACGTCAAACAGGCATTTAAGGAACATAATAGTACTTCAGACACAGAAGGCAGGGGGTATATTATAATGTTTCATCAAACACAGCAGTTGGGGGAATATAATATTTCCTCCGAACCAGATGTCATGGAAAATAGTATTACCTAAAACACTGCGGTCAGAGAACATAATATTACCTCTACCACCGCTTATTGAGAATAAAATACTTCCTCTAAAACAACTGGCAGGGAAAATACTTCTCATCGTGTAAATATATCTTAATGTAAACTCTTCACAGGAGCGTCATTTTTAACCAAGGAGCTGGTTTCTTAATATAGTCAAGCTGAAGGAGTTACTTGCGATGAATGTCTTGAGTAGAAGAATTATCATCGTTCCAGTGATTCCTATTCGCCAGCTCACAAGACAGAACGTCTCAGAGAATTAACTTTGTATTATATAATAGTGTATATGGCATAAAAAAATCCTTTAATTTTTCTCCCCCCTCCCTAAAAAAAAACAGTTTTTATTTTTATAGTTACTTCCCATGGAGAGTTACTTTCCCCAGACAGTGACGTCCAAATGACAATCATCTGGACGTCCTGGTTGCTGCGAAGTTGGGCAGGCTGCAAATTAAACTATCCTATAGGAAAAAACCTAGTTTAACTATACCTCATTGAAGGTTCGCTTCGTCAATTTCCTTCAGCGACGACTTGGGTTGAATTTCCTCAACTGGTTGACTGTGATTAGACTCACCGAACGGCCTAATAGGTCAAGCTTGGTAGCACTTAGCTTGACAAAGAACATTACAATTTACGATACTATTATTTTGAGTGTGTGTGTGGGGTGGGAAAGGGTTATTAATTGTTTATTAGTAATAGTATTGTTTAAAGAAGTAAGAGAATTATTGTTAGAAGTATTGGTAGTAGTTGTTAATAACAAGAGTTGTATATACTTTTTTTTTAATTGTTGTTGTGATTAGATTCTATCAACCTCGATAGAAATAATGTCACCACAATAGCTCAGTGACTAGACAATAAGTATACTTTACACTTCTCCAGTAATAAGGTTAACTTTCTGTATGTACACTGATCTGTATGTATCTTTTATGTATCACTTTCTGTATATACACTGGACTACACTTCGGGGTGTATATATTTTTTTGTATATTATAGTAGTATTGTTTTTAACATTGTTAATAATCAAGTAACTATTAAATAAACTATTAGTATAATTTGCCTCAGTTTTGCAAATGCGTCAGATTTGTAGAGTTACTTGTAACAGTTCTGGGTCATGACTCCTCAAGCACTTGCTTACATTTACGAAACCTGTACATCTTTCATCAATCATAGCAGCTGTGTTTACAGTTATTCAACAGTTGATGAGCAGAGAATCATCACGGAGGTTATCAATAATAACAATAACCTTGGGTTGTGAGTTTTGGATGCTCATAAACTGTTTTATAAATGTAAACACATTGCCAAAAGTTGTTGAAAGATGTATAGGTTTCGTAAGTGTATGCTTAATTAATCCCAGCCTGTAAGTGATTGAAATTTATTGAATATAATTTTGAGTTATTTGCCGTCCAATTACAAAATGTTTGCATTATTGCAGTGATAGTTTTGCTGACCAATTTGTTTTGTCAAAAATGGTCACCATAATTGTGTGCATCCTGGGTGGAACGAGCGTCCAGACTGCTCTATTTGTGCAAAGGAAACACCTCACTGGATATAACCTTTCCCGTGTTTGTTCTTCTTTGGTTGCTCTTCCTTCCTTTCTCTGGTGGCTGTGTTCTTCACTCTTGGCCTCTGTTCTCCACCGGTGATTGTCTCCTTCACCGGAGGCTCTCTCCTCTACCGGTGACACACTCCTCCAATAGGTTCAGTCTCCTCTCATGGTAGCACTTCCCCTCGCCTTCACACACACAGTGTAACGCCACTTGTGAACCACCTTCAGTTTCCCCACCTGCGACTCTCCAAGTTTCAATGACCGCTGCTTTTTCCAAAAGACATTTTTTTTCTATCGAAGTTTTTTGTTTTGTTTTATTTTCTCGTTCGCCTTGGTTCCCCTCTAAGCACGCACGCTTCCAGTGTTCATGCTTGCACCGGCCATTTCACCGGCATTTTTGACAGAAATTTTCAACACTTGGTCGGAAATGTCCGTATGAGAGCCTCTATGAGGACCAATCTCTTCTAAAAAAGGGGGACATAGAAATGGGTGGCCTCTATTCAGTCATCGATGATGCGTGGCTTCTAGAGTTTACAAGTATAGGGAGGTTCCTAGAGTGATCAGGAAGGGGGCGCTCCTAGCGTGAACAACGAGTGTTAGGTGCCAAGAGTGAACAATGAAGGGGGCGCTCCCAGAGTGAACAAGCAAAGTGGCATACTTGAGTGATCAAGTAAAAGGGAACTAAAAGAGTGAAGGAGATTGAAGGGGCTTCAATAGTAAACAACGAAGGCTTCCAGAGTAAACAGTGAAGACTACCATTTGGAACGATGAAGGCTCCCAGGGTAAACCATGCAGGCTCCTAAGGCAACAGTGAAACCTACCAGAATAAACAATGAAAACTCCCAGAGTAAACAGTGAAGGCTCTCAGGGTAAGCAGTGAAGGCTCCCATGGTAAACAATGAAGGCTCCAATGGTAAACAGTGAAGGCTCCCAGGCTAAGCAATGAAGGCCCCCCGGATTAAAGAGTGAAAGCTAGAATAATAAACAATGAAAGTTCGCATAGTAAACAATGGGTAAACAATGAGGGCTCACAGAGTAAACATTGAACGCTCCCAGAGTAAACAAAGAATTGGATAACTATTTGAATTGTATTGGAAAAGGATTTTGAACAATTATAATGAAAGTAGTCATGATACTACAATGATAAATGTATTTTTGTTTAACTATTGGCTTTGTTAATGTTAATTACAAATGTTTTAAACGGCAACATTTATTTCAAAGTTTATGGCAGGAATTTTGTTTCCCTCTAAGCCCATATAAAGTGATATATGGAGACCGTTCAAGTTTCGAAGATATGAATAATTGTACGATTCTATTTTTCTAAAACATATTTCGTCAAAGATTGAGCATCTTTTCTAGTAACAAGATGTTTATTCACTTTATTCATTTATTCCAACATTATAGTAAGAAAATTTCATATTGATTTGTTATTTTCATAATATGGAATATGAGTAGTTTTGAGTGTTAAAATATATTTTGGATCATATTTTGTTATAAATTATAATATTGCTAAATTAAATCATAATTATTCAAGTCTTGCAATCATTAACAATATTATAGTAGGTATATATGTCATATTTCTTTATATTGACGAATTTTAAGAAGTTTTGAGTACTTTTATGTGTGAATTTTTGGTAACTTTTCGTTATGAGGGATATTATTATTGGTTTTCCTTATTTCAAACATGAGACGAAGGAGTCTGCCCACAGCCCCGCTCCTGTGCCAGGTTAGTTCACTACGGGCTCACCATAGCCCGTGCTACTTGGAACTTTTGTTCTGAGTAGCTGAATCTAAAACAACAACAAGGAGGCTGCCTATTGGTGGTCTTCCTCATGTCATGAATGAGTAAAATACACGACACGACACAAAAACAATAGTTAATATTTATCAATAATGCCACAATAAAATATGATGAAATAAAACTATAACC